TGTAAATTCATATAAGGTTTCAAAAACTTATTTCTTTATTTTATTTTTATATTATTTTTTGTTTATGCAACTTCAAACCGGTCATCATTTTAGTTTTTTATATTTTGAAATAATATATATCCAATTGTATTGAATGTTGTAAAACAAAAAATATAGATACACATCTAAATTGAAGAACCAAACTAAATTGAAGGAACAAAACTAGTTTGGTTTAACCTAATTAAAATAAAACAATTTTGGTTACATTTGGAGGAATATATGTAACTCATATCCCAAAATGAATAAGTAACCCAATCTAAATTATTATACTTAATGATAAATATATTATTATTTATAGTGATATTCTTGATTTCTTCTATCGATGGGAAGTTCATGCTTCATTCGTTTTGGGCCAGAATCGACTTAGTTCTTTATACACACACGTATATATATATATATATATATATATATTTTGTTATACCTATGTAATTTGAAATATATCTAGTTAAATGTGATATTTATTATAGTCATCTTAAAATAAAAATAGTATTTTCATTTTTCTCTCTCAGTATGTTATATCTAGATGCTATTTTAAAATTCAAAACTGAAATTAACATGTAGTTGTGATATCCGAGTGTAAAATCTAAAATTAACAATAAAATCAAATAATATTTAAGATGCAATGTTTCTAGATGTAACATCTGAATACAACAGTTAACAATAAGACCAACTATGCAATGTCTCTAGATGCAGCATCTGATTACAACGTTTGGCTACAAAAACGACCAAGTTAATTTAATGTGTAGTAAAATTTTGAGTAGATGAACCTGGTTCTAAATCATTTGATTTCACAAAAGGTAAGGAAGACTATGAGAAGAATTCAATCTAACTGAATACAAAAAAAAAAAGTTGACCAAAATATTGAGTTGATAACTCTGAAAGGTTGTTAGAAATCTCTTGAAGAGTCATCATTTATATTCGTTACATTTATGTTGCTTTGTGTATATATATGATGAAGTATAGTTGAAAAGACTCATCTCACACCTTTTGCTAATTCAAGCATTTTTCCAGATTTTTGTTGAGTTTCTCCCTTTTTATTTGTTGCTCTGGTTTTGTTTGTCATTTATATAACTTTTGGAGAGAAATTTAAAAGAAAAACATCTTTGTTGTTTACCTCTGAGAGATATGGACAAGATTAGTAGGCTGCCTGATGAACTGCTAGTGAAGGTGTTGACATTTCTTCCAACAAAAGAAGCTGTGTCCACTAGCATTTTATCGAAGCGATGGGAGCATCTTTGGATGTGGTTGCCAAAACTTGAGTATGATGATCAACGCTACTCAGAGTCTGAACGCAAGAAGCTACGGTGTTTCATTGTCAGAAGTCTACCTCTACATAAAGCCCATGTTATTGAAAGCTTGCGTCTCAAGCTAAGTCATTCACATTTTAAACCTCATGTTATCAAATGGATCGTTGCAACTGCCGTTTCTAGGAACGTGCAGGAGCTGGATATCTCTTATTCTGCTTATCCGGAGAAGTTAAACATATTGCCAAGTAACTTGTATACCTGCAAATCACTTGTGATTTTGAAACTCGGTGATCGGATTCTCTTGGATGTTCCTCCAATGGTTTGTCTTCCCTCTCTGAAGACTTTGCAACTTCAAGCAGTGGCATACTTCAATGAAGAATCTCTTCAACGACTTCTATCTAATTGCCCTGTTCTTGAAGAACTAAAACTGGACATATGGGAGAATGACAATAAAAGGAAGTTTACTATTATTGTCCCATCTCTGCTGAGTTTTTCACTCTATATACCCTATGATTATAATGTTGATGGGCTTGTGATAAATACTCCTTCCTTAAAGTATTTCAAACTAAGGGTTCACAGTAGTAACAATCCCTACTGTTTGGTTGAGGATATGCCTAACTTGATCGAGGCATATATAGATGTTGAGTTCCCTAATATCAAGAGTCTTATTGGATCAATCACATCTGTCAAGCGTCTTGAAATATGCTCAGAGGTAATAATTGATTTTTTCATTTATCAACTCATTTAAAGATCTCCTCTGTTTATAATTTTCATTTTGTGTCCAGGTTGTGTATGAAGAAGGAATTGTATTCAGCCAGCTTGAGCATCTGAAGCTATGTAGATGCAAAGACTGTACATCGAATCTACTTGTCAGACTACTCAAAGATTCTCCTAACTTACGAGTACTTGACCTTTATGAAATGATTGTAAGTATCTTTGTCAATTAATTTTTTTTTCTTTTGGGGCAACATTATGGTTCTAATCTAATTTCTTGTGCTTGATCTCAGGATCATTACTATTGTGGCAGTATCCCGTGGAATCCACCAAGTACTGTTCCTGCATGCATGTTGTCGAGTCTACAAATTTTTAACTGGTCGGCATACTCAGGAGTACCGGGAGAGAGAGATCTTGCGATTTACATGTTGAAAAATGCAAGTCACCTAAAGACTGCAACAATCTTGTCTGAAGAATGTGATATTCCGGAACTTGTGATGCTAAAGGAGTTGGCATTTTCTTGCAGAGCTTCAACAACATGCGAATTCATGTTTGATTGCAGCAAAGATAACATTTATTTTGATTGAGGACACTTCTCGCACTCATATGTTTTTTTTCAACTATAAAAGCTTGCATCTAAAAAGAACACATATACTTGTCTCGATCGATTGTTCAGTTAAACACACAAAGTATGTTTGTATGAGTTTTAAGTTATTTGATAATTTGTAATATTTTCAAGTTTATTTTTACCCTTTAAATACTAAAACTTAATATTTATATTTTCTTCAGATTCAGTCTTGCTTCAGATCACCTAACCATCCAGTTTTTTTCTTGGGCTCTGTCTCGTACATGCTCTGTTTTTTCACTTGTTTTTTCTTCGTTTCTCGTCTGCAGTGGGTGATCAGATGAATTGATGTTTAAGTTATTATCCTTTCTGATGATGTATCCACTAGCATTGTGTCAAAAGTGATATAATGGAATACTATCGATATCGTGACAAGGATTCACTCTATGATAAGGATTAGGTCCTTAGTTCGTATGTAAACAATCCTAATCTTGTTAGATAACTTCTCTATCTATCATATCATAGAATCATGATTTATTTTATTTTTTTGGCTTAGAGGCTTTCAATATAAAGAATCATGAATTAGGTTTCATTCTTGATGAACAAGGACGGTAGGGTTTAGGTTTTTTTCAACCTTCTTCAGAAGAATATTTGTTTGATCTGACACAAACACACACCCAGGTTTATATACTTTTGGTCTAGTTTTCAGATATTCGACACTTGATAAAGAAATATACTGAAAGCGTTCTAGCTTATGTTGGAGTTCAAAAGAGTAGTTTCCATGAAGATAGGTGCGTTGGCTCTTGAGAATATTTTCTTCACTACCTGCTAAATATGTTCTGACCACAATGTTTTCGTCAAAACGATAACAACATCTTTGGATCGTGATTTAAAATATCTAAATAGAACTATATAAAATATGATATCAATAATATCTACACATCTAAGAAGAAACTAAACAAATCCATTTCAAAATCTTAAATATTGACTATGGTCTAGTAGTAGTTTGCATCAGAAAAGGAGTTGTGATGTTGGTCCAAGCCACGGATCAGTTTCTTTCTAATGCGCAATTATTAACTTAACATTTGACAACGCATAGATAGATTTTTTACTTATGGCCCAGAAAAAGTTGATATGTTAGTCATTGCATAAGTTGGATATAACCCCATATCAATAATTCAAAAACTCAGAGTAATCTCGAAACGGATACCCAAATTACTAGTAAAGCTTGTAATAGGCTTAAGAATATTTTCTTTGTCCAATAGGACTATGACAAAAAAGATGTGTGATATTTCGAGCACGTGGTGCGCGTGTGACTTGAAGAGGCGCATTTTAGCTTCCCAGCGGGAGGGAACGGTTCTCTTTGTCCATTTAATTGGGTCGAGAACCATTTCAAGGATTAGGGTTCGTCTCTGGTGATTACTCCGTCACTGGGATCGATTCCACTTCAGGTATTATATAACTATCATTATGATTTTCGTTTGTATTTGAAAGCAATAGGCTCACAAAATCATGTAAAAAAATCTCTGTTTTCTTATGTTTCTGGATCTGAAGAAGCTGCTGAGAAGGTTTGAGTAATAATGGGGTTGGATGGTATGGATAGGCTAAGTGATCTACCTGATGCACTTCTCCTGAAGATACTCTCCTTACTGCCTACGAAACAAGTTGTGTCAACAATGCTTTTGTCAAAAAGATGGCTTTCTCTTTGGATGTTTGTGTCAAGACTTGAATACAGTGATGATGATATGTACCAAGATGGGAGGTTCTTGCGGTTTCTCTACAGTTCCTTGCTCTTGCACCAAGCTAAGGTTCTTGAGAGTTTTTCTTTGAAACTTGGACAGAACTCTAGGGATATAGATCTTGGAGTATGTGTTACACCTGCTCTTAATCGCTCTGTGCGTGAGCTGATTATCGAGATTGATACTTCTTCTTCTGATGAAACTCAGTTCATACTTCCACGGAGCTTGTATACAGGATCTAGAACGCTTGTGACTTTAAAACTACAGAATGCCGTTCTTTTGGATGCTTCGGAGACGGTTTCTTTCCCTTGTCTTAAAACTCTGAGCCTTATATCAATGAAGTACCCTGGTTGTGAGTTTATCAGCAAGCTTTTGTCAAGCTGTCCTGTTCTTGAGAACCTGTTTGTGGTCAAATGTCTCGGTGACAATGTGGCGCTTCTGGTAGTTAGAGTGGCTTCTTTGAAGTTTCTAACCGTGCGTACCACATCAGAAGTAGGGTACAATCACGGGTTAGTGCTCGATGTTCCTTCTTTGGAGTTCTTGGACATTATTGATTATACAGATGGGTTTTGCGTCGTTGAGAAGATTATGCCTTAGGTTAGAGAGGCTCATCTTGATGTGACTTATGGTCATCCTCAGCAGCTTCTTGCTTCCCTACCTTCACTCGTGCAGCTCTCGTTATGTTTAACGACTACAATGGTAATGCCTTCTTCACTATACACAAGTTTATTGACATTCTTTGTATCGAATCAGTCATAGTTTACATCAATATTATATATCTTATGTGTAGGATGCACATTTCGATGGAACAATATTTGGCCAGCTTGAACAGTTGAAAGTATGTACTTGCGAGACCGAGTGGTTGGATCTACTTATGCGTCTACTCAAAGCTGCCCCTAAACTAAGGTTTATCGTCCTTGAACTGGTACATATACGCAAAACCCAAACTGCTGCAAAGATCCCTGGTTTTATATTTTTGAAGTTCTAACTCTAATATACTTCTCTTCGCTTTTCAGTCTAAGATCCATGGCATTAGAACTGAAGATCCGCTCATGTGCTGGAACAAACCGAGTCGTGTTCCTGAATGTCTATTGTCTAGTGTTGAATATTTGGACTGGAGGCAATACCAAGGAACAGAAGAAGAGAAGCAAGTGGCAAGATACATCTTAGGAAACTCTGGTCGTTTAGGATTCGCAACTTTCTATCCCAAATCGAAAAATCCTGTGAAGAATCTGCAGCTGCTCACGGAGTTGTCAATGTCACCAAAGAGGTCTTCAATCTGTCAGCTTGTGTTCCGTGGGAATTACAATCCTGCCTGACTCCAAGTGAAAAGACTTAGTTTCTTCCAAAAGTTCCATGCTTATTTGGATATCTTGAATGTTTAATTCTAATCTCAGAATAACTGTTACCTTTTGCTTTTTGGTAAGTATTGTCATCCTAAAGTTGAACATTGATGAAAGAGAAATTGGCATGGCTGCCCCTAAGTTTGCCCATAATTTGTCTATTGCCTATGTAACTATTAGATATTTTCAGTAGACAATTTTACTCTCACCTCACAAATCGGCGAATGATGTCGCAAGTCAGACTCCACTCTTTTGTCTGTTGTACAACTTCACGTCTCTTCGATTTCCCAATCTCTCTCTTTACACGCGTGATAAAGCGTTTTTTGTACTTTCGCGATCTTCGATGTTTTAAAAATCGCATTCATTCATCTGAAATTCCCAACCACTCTCCCGCATCTATAACATTTTTCTGTAATTTTTTTTCAATCTCCACTCTTCATCACCATGGAAGAAGTTCAATTGCCTCCTAGAATGTTCGCCTTCAGCGAAGAACCCGTCGGGGATCGCATCAACTCATACCACAAGATTAAAAAGACGGAGTTGATTCTTGGAAGCACTTGAAGCCGATGAGTTAGAGTTTCTTCGAAACTCTACTTTTGGCAAGATCCTTGCAATTGACGAGAACCCACCTTTCTCTGGTGCATTTGGTCAGTATGTTATCGTTAGGCTTCTCAAAGTCGGTATGAAATACGAGATTTGGTTCTTATTCGCTGGGAATCCGATAAGATTTTCCCTTCGAGAGTACGCCATTGTTACTGGTCTAAACTGTGGGAAGCTCCCTGAACCAATGAAGAAGAAGAAGAACCCTTTGAAAGAGAAGTTGTATTGGAATGAACTGTTTGGTTCACTTAAGTTCTGCACCATTGAGACCATCGTTGATATGTTGAAGAACAAAGTTGTTAAAAGCAAGGAGACCCGGTTAAAGTTTGCTTGCCTTGCTATAACTTCATCCATCCTCTTCCCGTCGTCACACTCTCCTCGCATCATCCCGGAGCATGTTGAAATGATTAGAGATCTCGGAGAATTCTTAGCATATCCATGGGGTCGAGTTTCATTCCACACGCTTATTACTTCTATCACCTCCAAGGACGAAGTAGCCTTATCTCAAGCATCTGTAGCCATTTGCGGTTATGTTGATGCAATACAGCTAGTTCTTGTTGCTGCCATTCCATAGCTAAAAGAGGAGATTCCTCATTCTGAGCGAGTAGTGATTATGGAATCGGATAGCGACGCTGAGGCTTCTGATTGCCCCGCTCCGACTGAAGTTGAAACTACCACCACTGGCCTGCCTGCTGCTAACCAAACAGTCAAATTCTGTGTCATCCCGGGCCATGCCAAGAACATTGATACCGAGTGTCAGGTAGTTACTGCTCTCTTGGTTTATATGATAGAATCCCCTCCCTCGTAAATGTTTAAATGTTTCGTTGCTTGATCGCTTTGACAAAAGTTGCTTAGTGTATACTTGCTAGGTTAAACTATTTGTTAGCCGCTAAACTCTTATCGTTAACACTGTATGTTTTCACTTTAAAACTACATGTTAGCTGCTAAACTTCAAACTTTATGTTCGCAAAGTGTTAAATCCACCGTTAGGTGCTAACTTCTTTTCTAGTTGCTTAGCTTTAGTTGCTAAGTTTATTTTCGATATGTTGTAGGTTAGCTGCTAAATTCCCTATACTTTCATGTCTTTAGCATTACTATATCTGTTAGCAGTTAACCCTTCTATTGTCATTGAATTTTAACGAAATTGTATTACTTTTCCATCTATCACTCATGTGGATATTTCTTCCATTTTTTCACAGTTGCCAGTCAAGTGCATCCTCGACGAACCTTTTGAGGAATGGTCTTCTGGTTTAGATTTCACTTGGTGTGATGAACCTGAAGTTCCTCTTGTATCCGATATGCTCGCTTTGATATCTAAAGGGTTAAGTTTTAGGAGGGAGATGTTTAATGGTGGGTTGACCGCAACCGAATTATCACGGATGAGGTCTGTGAAGAAGTCTAAGGACAAAGACACTAAGGATAAATTTGATAAGGAACCTGTTGTTGATGTAGCAGATGTTGGCTCCTTTCTGGAGAGGCCCAACCTTTTCTCTGCTTAACTAACTAGTGAGCTCAGAGGTTTGGGTCAGCGCATTGAGCAAGCACTCGAGACGAGGTCATCGCATCATGTATCTCTTATACAGTCAACCATTTCCAGAGGACTTCAAGAAATCGAGTCGAAGATTTCGGCTTCCATCGCGAACCAACTCAACCTCATGGAAAGGGCCTTAATCAAGTCTGTTGTAGATGCCATTTCTAAACTCCCCTCAGCTTCATCTGTAATCCCTGAAGCTACCGCCCCTGTGAATGTAACAGAGACCGGAGAGGATATTGTAATGACCTTTGTCTTTGTTAGTTAGAACAACAGAGGCAATGATGAAGCTTTTGTACCAGACCGCACTCCAGCTGTACTTGCTGACAGCCTCATAAATGACGTTCTACTTGATCTCAATCCACGTAAGGATACTAAATCTCCCGTTCACCGAAATGATGTTGAGCCCACTGTCGGCAATCAAACCGATGTAGAACCACCTACAGAATTAGCGGATAGTCCAACTCGTGCTTCGGTAAGCTTCATTCTTTACTTTAATTGTAGATAATCCCTATGTGTGACATCTAATGATCAGTATTCGCAGGTTGCTTCTAATGATCTTATTAGCCCTCCAGCTCCCACAAACGACCCCCCCCCCCGTGATGATCCCCCTCATGAATCCCCTGCTGATGACGGAAATCACCTTGACGATGTCCGAGCACATGTCGATGTCGTCATCCAATCACTCCCGACTTTGGATTCTGCTGATGAAGTTGAGTTGGAGGAGGTAATCTTACAATTTTTTACCCACCCCCTAATCTTTTTGATATATAAGCTGAGTTCCCACATTGCTGCTCCAATTACTAGTTGTTAAATCTTCTCGAAATGCCGTTTTTCTCTGGGACTCTCGCAGGAAGATGTATCTGCAGACAAGAATGATGAGATTCTGATAACTGATGTTGTAGCTGCCAAAGAGTTTGTTGGTCGTGCTCCTGAGACTCGGAGGAGTAAAAAGGCGAGGACTACACTAGTTGGCCTTCAAGACTACACTTGTGATCCCAAATTAACAGCAGGTCTGGCGATCGATCCTGAAATCGATGTCATATTCAATAAAATGGAGGAAACTGTCAACAAGACCTCGTAAGCAATCCTGATTCTTAGCATACAAAATCTAATTTGTTCGCTAACAATCACTCTACGACAATTTGTTCGCTAACAATTACATCATATTTGTTAGCGAACAAATTGTTCATATTCTTAACATACAATTTATAATTTGTAAGCAATCCAAATTCTTAACATACAAAGTCTAACTTGTTCGCTAACAATATACTCTAAAGGTTTTGTTCCAATTTTTTTGCAGTGGTGTGATTTTTCGTAGTGGTTTCACCGTCACCCCGGCTGTCTTTTGCGATATAGGATGCCATTCGACGTTCCTACCTTCCGGAGTGAGAATCTCTTTTCCTTCTTTCTTGCTTTGGATGTTAAATTTTTCTCTCAATTTTCATAAATAAAATGTATAGGTGGTGGACGCTATGATTCACTTTGTGTGTCGCCGTTCTCCGCATCCATCAAATGTTGTCATTTGCGAGACAATGCTCCCAGTTGCTGTTATGAAGCATCACAATCGTTTCACGAAGACTTCATTGATTGACCGTGTTAAGCTTAAGTTTTCGGATGTCCCACTTTTAAAATCCGCAAAGTTTACTCTTCACAGCCTCTATTTCCCCTTCAACCTTGACCAGCAGCACTGGGTTGGCGTCTGTGTTGACACTAGAGCGGCCACACTACATGTTCTTGATTGTAACACATCCCTCCGCACTGACAACTCGTTGAAGAAAGAGCTTACCCCTATCGCCAACATGATCCCCTACATCCTACGGTATTTTGGTTATATTGAAAAGGGGATGCCCTTGATTCCATTTGCTGTTTCTAGATGCAAAGGTATCCCTCAGACCAAAAGCCCGAACGATTCAGCTGTTATATCCGTTCTGTTGATTGAAGCTCACGCACAAGGTGGTGTCGCTGCTTGCAAAGCAATCTCTGCTCGTGTACTTCCGGACGCGGCGAAGCAACTTCCCGTACAAATGTATCGAGACTTATGTTAGACTCTTATTATCCTAACTATCATCACTGCTCTCCTTCTTGGCCGTATTGCCACTACAACCTTATCTCCTTTTTTTTTGTTGGAATTCATGATGAAATGATCAGAACTTTGTTAAGACCTTGTTTCGTTTATTAGTTTTTCTGGCTCCTTATCTATGTTAGCTTCCAACAGACAAGAATTACATCTAAGAAATGTATTAACGGATATCATATGCACATGTTTGCTAGTAAAATTGTTACCCTAACTGGCTCACTCTAATTTTGCCTTAACTTTTTTCTTAGCGGCTAATACTACACGAGTCCAACACATTCACAATTTTAAAGTTTACAAAACAAAATTTAGACTTCACCAAGCTGATCAAAGACCAAGTATAAGATTTCTCTCCAATTTCATCTAAGAAATGTATTAACGGATATCATATGAAGATGTTTGCTAGTAAAACAGTTACCCTAACTGGCTCACTCCATTTTGTCTAAAACAAAATTTAGACTTTACCAAGCTGATCAAAGACCAAGTATAAGACTTCTCTCCAATTTCATCTAAGAAATGTATTAACGGATATCATATGAAGATCTTTGCTAGTAAAACAGTTACCCTAACTGGCTCACTCCATTTTGTCCCTAACTTTTTTCTTAACGGCTAATACTACACGAGTACAACACATTCACAATTTTAAAGTATAAAAAACAAAATTCAGACTTTACCAAGATGATCAAAGACCAAGTATAGGATTTCTCTCCAACTATCGAAAAAGTATACATCGTACTTATTCACATGTTTTATTTCTAAGTCTACATA